AAGAGATTATTACTGCACTGTTTGTTTTCAATAACTTGTAGATCAAGCAGCAAGAGTGAATTTGTCACCAGACACATGCCATCCACAAACAAGTCCATAAGTTTGTACAATAAAATCCCCTCTTTAGCTCATTATTATTTATAAAGTCTCCACATTTCTTGCTGAACTTTTTCAAAAAAAAAAAATCTGCCCTTAAGATACAGGTAATAGAGATATGGTCACATGTATTATCCATTCTTGCTGGCATGAAAATTTGGCAGTAGGTTGGGCCTACTGCTGAATTATTATAGTCCCTCTAGTGATGATGGTACTTCCACAATCAGACCGAGACACTGACTAGTAATGGTGAGTGAGGATGTTGTCTGAGTTAGAATAAGTTTAGGACTGAACCGAGAAGGAATTTCTTCACCCAGAGGGTTGTTAATCTATGGAATTCCTTGCCCAGTGAAGTAGTTGACGCTACTTCAGTAAATGTTTTTAAAAAAAAAGGTAGTTTTTTTTGAACAATAAAGGAATTAAGGGATACGGTGAGAACACGGGTAAGTGGATCCGAGTCCACGAAAGGATCAGCCATGATCTTATTGAATGGCAGAGCAGGCTCGAAGGGCCAGACGGCCTACTCCTGCTCCTAGTTCTTATGTTCTTATGTAATAACGTGTATCTTGCAAATGAACTGGCTGATGATGGTGCTGCCCTACCATTGCTGCTTTTATTTTTCTTGGATGATAAGAAGCTGCAAAAGAGGACGATACTATAAAAGTATCATTCACGAGTTGCAGCAATTCATGCTATTTATTGTACATGCTAGAATCAAAACGTACTGAGATTACTAAAATAAATGACAGCAACTTACTATATCAGTTGTTGAGTTTCTGAAGCATACTTGCCTCTGAACCCACATAGCCAAGACATAAGTATTTGGGCATTATCCTGATTCACTCTTTATAAAATGCTTTCGGCTTCCACGAGGTGAGCTATTTGTTTAAGTACATAGACACTTTCCTGTTTTATTGTACGCAGGTCATTGATATTATTAATCCAGTGCACATTTCTGCCTAGCAAATAGGAAGGTTGGACTGGGGCTGTCACCAGCATTGAAAGTTTTGAGCAAGCAGGATGATTACAGAGGGTGATGATCCCAGTGATTTGCTGTCCAGATTATTTCTCTCGACTTTATTTCATTCAGGGACACAACAAAATTCATCGTACCTCGTAGGTTTCTTATTGTGAAAATCGAAGATTCTATCATCAGCTGAAAGAGAGCTTTGTCACTCATTAGAAGGCTCCTTTCAAACTGTGCTCAACCACGTTGTAACTTTGACAGACCAGTGAGGTTACTGACTCAATTTGCAGCCACTAGCACCTTATTAATACAGGCTCAGGCACTAAAAATGGCCTTTAGTCTGTGTGTAGTCTAAATGTTCTTGATCTCTGATAGGGTAGAAACGCATAACTGTGTCAGAAGTGGTACCTTCAACTGCCAAGCTTCTATCAGTCTGTGTTAGATGTGAATATCCCCCTTATTTGAGGGTGGTCAAGGATTTCTTTAGAATCTTGGCTACTCCAACACCAATAACAGATTAGCAAGTCATTCATGCAATTTACTGTGGTTTCTTCCGTGTCTCTTTCCGGCCTAATAATTAAACTTCTTAGCTCCAGCATCAATAAATCTATTTGTGGCATGTAGAAGACAAAATATTGAAAGTGATACATAAAGTTATACATTACTCAGGAGTCACCCATTTAAAACAAAACTATATTAAAAATGTATTCTCTCAAAGGATCAGGAGTCTCCAGAACGCTTCCTGCAAAGATGGGAGGAGCAAAGCACTGAAATATTTTGAAGGCAGTGGTAAATAGATTCTTGTTAAGCAATAGGGTGAAAGATTATCTCAAGTCGGTGGGAATGCAGATCTGAGATGACAATCAGATCAGCCATGAGTTTATTGAATGGCAGAGCAGGCTAGAAAGGATGAATGACCCATTCCTGCTCCTAATTTGCATGTTCATATAATGTCTGGAGTCTAAAAGAATTAGAAGTGATCCTCATTGAAACACACAAGAGTGCACAGGCGGTTGACAGGATGGACACAGAGGTTTTTTCCTCTGGTTGGAGTATCTAGGACAAAGGGCACAAAGGGCACAGTCTCATGATGGGGAACTGATCATTTAGGACTGAGATGAGAAGACATTTCTTCACCCTGACGGCTTTGATTCATTGGAATTCTCTACCCCACAGGATTTAGATGCTCCATCAAATGACTATATTTGAGGCTGGAATAGAGTTTCTCTCTCTCAGGATATCAAAGAATTCAAGAAACAGACAGGAAAGTGGAGTGAAACAGAAGACCAGATGTGATCATACTGAATGAGGAGCAGACTGGTCCACTCCCATTCCTATTTGTTACATTCTTATATCAGTGAGGCCAAAGCATCAGTGTTCACCACTAAGATCCACAACTTTGGCGAAATCTTCATCCTCCCAATCATTGTCTAAGCTGAAGCCCAATGTTCACAACCTGAACTGACCTTCAACCCTCACCTCTGCACTGTTTTCATCTCCATTAGGAACTTTTTTAAAAACTACTTTTTTTGATGAAACATTTAGTCACCCCTTTAAATAACTTAAGTGTTTTAGCTTGGTGTTTGATTTTTCGCTGCTTCTGTGCATTAACTCAGCATGGGTTTTTCCTAGTTCAAGAAATCTTGTAAATGAAAGTTGCTCTCATTATTGTTTGACATGCGAAAGATTCAAAACTACAAGTCCCCACTGTACAGCTGCAAAACACATTGTATATAGGCCCACAGGATTCTGAGGTTTGGATGGCATAGTTCAATGCATTTGTTATACCAACCCATGGCCAAAGAACATCTCAAAATTGTTCTGAAGTGTGTATATCAGCTAATTTGGAAATTTGCATCCTTTACAGCCTGCAAAGACAGTCAACTATAATAAATTTAATCCTATGGGTTATGACAAGTACACTGCAGCTTAATGGTTCCAGTAGTGATCCGGAGAGTTCATGATTGAAGCTCTGCTTTAGAAATTTGAGAAATTGACGACAACAAATTTGATTTGATCTAGCCATGAAAGATGTTTGGCTGCCATAAAAATGCAGCCAGCTTACTAACATCCTTCAATCCTGCAATCCTTATCTGGTCTCAAAGTACTTACAAACACGTGATTTAGCAGCACAAGTTGACCATTCGACCCCTCAAACCTGTTCTGGTGTTCAGTAAGATCCTTCGTATTTTGTACTCCTAATAACCCATTATCTCCTTGCCAAACAAGAAGCTACCTAAAATCAATTTAAAAACATTCAATGATCCCAGTTCGGCCACGTTCCGAGGCAGAACATATTTCTCCTCATCTCAGTCCTAAAAGTGCCCTTTAATTCTGGATTCACCCTCAAAGGAAACATTATTTCCACATCCACCTTGTCAA